AAGGAAGTGACCCTACGTGGGTTGTTCAGGTTAGATACTGTATCTACCTGTTATTTGGCTGTGCACAGTCTTGGAATCTCCCCTGCATACAAGTAGAGATGTACAGCCCAAAGGCCTAGAGACACCAGCCTTTGTGTATATTGGGCCGCGCGTCCAGCTCAAAACCCTGCCAAAAGTCACCAAAACCCAATCTGCTCTGGTAAAATTTGGGAAAATTTAGATAAAAAGTCCTGAAGATCCAGTTGAATCTCTAGACATATGGCCTGTGTGTTTGCACAGTGGAACAGGAAAAGGCCTTTTTCTCCTGAATATTATCAAGAATTCAAAATGTCTCTCTTCTTCAGCAGCGTGAACCCAAGACCTATTGAAATGTATCACAAACAAGCAAGCTAGTAAGTCCTGCAGTTGTCCCATGATCAAAGCAATTACCTGGGATGTGGGAAACCAAAGTTCAAGTCTCTTGTCATTATTAACCAGAACAGGGACTCGCTTAGCATGAGTGTCTTGGATCTCACATGAATCTCCTAATAGCTGAGCTACTGGCCATATAAGTGGGGGGTCTTTGTTTCAGTGAAAGCTCTTTGTGATGAACTTGTTGTGTGTTCAATATACGTAAACAGATGCATATTTTATGTACACAGAGCCATGGACTAATAGCATTTACTGGAACTGGGCATAGTATCTTTGTGAAGATGTAGTAAATTTTCTGAAAATGCAGTTTGGGGGAGATCAAAACTCTCTTCAAAGTAAAACCAAATTCAGGGAGTAGTTTTAGCACAAAATAGAATAGGGAAGAATATTTTTCAAATGTCTAAATTTCCAATTTTTGTTTTGAAACACCATTTTCTTTTTCAGAATTTGCATAGATGGATGGATTAAGTAATTTAGAAACAAATCAAAACATCATGTTTCAGGTCAAATTTTGTTTTAGATTCATTTTCAAGGTTTTGATTTAGCAGGGAGAGAGGCCTGCCTCAGTTCAATGTGAGATCATTTACTGTTTTCCATATTTTTGGTTCCACCACTGCACCAGAAGCTCCACTATTCATACAGTTGTAACAGGTGTGTTTCGCCAATTTTGGGTTATTAGCGAGCTTGATTACTCTCTTCTCTTAAACTTAACCTTGCAGTGATGCAGCCAGGAATGATGTTCACAAGCATCTTTGGCCTGCTGAAATGAACCAGAAGCAGAGAAATATTTTGGGATCCAAGACTCAGATCCTCCCAGAGTGGAACATAGCATTACTCACAAAAGCAGGGCTTCACTGATATTTAAATTCCCTCTAGCCAAGTCCCCTAGGATAAGGATGGAGAAACATTCTCCACCTGCTCTGTCCTCTCTCTGGTGGAGAAAAAACCTACTTGTGGGAGGTGATGACTCCCTCTCCTTCCTGTCTGTCTAGCCCATGCTCATCACCAGGTCATCTGAGCACCGTTCCCTCCAGCCTATTCCACCGTTCCCTCTTGCCTTCTG